TAGTAATGTGTAATTATTAGTTGTATTATGAATACAGAGGAGGCAATGGTTTTAAACTAGGTACAATTTTGCCACAGAGGATCACACAGTGATGTCCGGAGGCATTGTGGGTGGTCACAGCAGGGTGAGGGTCATCCAGGCACCTCATATGTCAAGACCAGGGCTTCTGCTCTACTTCCTGTGACGTGTAGAACAGCTCTCCACAACAAGGAGTTCTCCAGCCCCAGTAGGGCCAAGGCTGGGGAACCTAGAGATACCCAGAATTCTAGAGAAACCATGTTCTGCCTTCCCCAAGGAGAAGTATATGCGTTTTTATCCTTACATGTCTCTGAAAGGCCCTCAATGTGCCACATGTCTTCAGCCCTGACAAGGAAGAATGACTGGCCTGGCACATGGAAAGCGGCCCTGGGCTCAGAAAGGACACGGGATCCAGGTGAGAATGTCTGAATTCCAGCCGGCACAGTCACCTGGCTGTGCAGAAAATCATTTCATCTCTTTGAGTTTCAGGCTTGCCACCTGGGGGAGTTAGTGCCCCGGTGCAGGCACTTGGGGGACGAGCAAGAGCCCAATGGGAGGGCTGAGCGCACAGGGGATGGAGGTTGCATTCACGGGATAGCATTTAGTTTATACTGTTTCCTACACTTCCTATTTAACTGCAGGTGTTGGAGCCCTCAAACCCATTTTTTTCAAAGTAGAGCCTTTTTTCCTTACGTTGCATTGAAATAAAAAACAATATAAATAACCTATATTCTCTCTTGGGTACTTTCATTCTTTTATTTACCTGTATTTGTGTCTCCTTGTCCTTCCCCCAACTCACCTGTTGCTACCGCAAAGCAATTGAAACCAGAGCAAAGAATTGCCCACCGACCTGCCCACGGCTGTAACCAGCCCCACGACCGGGCCCGTCGCTCATACCAGAGCCAGGCAAGCACGCGGCCGTCAGGCAAGCACGTGAGTTAAAGAGGGAGTCGGCATGTAGATCACCGAAACCGCAGTAGCATGTCCTTTCTTCTTGGCAAGTACGTGCTAGAATTGACATTTTAAATGGTGAATGGACACAGGGGTGGGGGCAGGACAGTGAGAACACACATCTGCCATCTGGCGGGGGAAAGTTCATCTCAAAGCCTAAGCCAGAAAAGGAAATTGGAGGTTGAGGAGCCCCAGCCAACCTGTTCAATATTTAGATTCATTGGTGCCTCTGTCCCGTTTTACTGTCCCCAGACAGCAAAGGGACATCTTCCTTGAAATAAGAGGGAGAGACATGCCTTGGGCAGGCAGGGGTGGGGCCGCTCACCCAGGCAAGTGCCCGGCTCAAGGCCCCCAGCGCGAGGGGCTGGTGAGGCCAGAGCCTATGTCTGTCTGACTGACTTGACGACAGATGACCCAGAACCGTGCAGGGGCGTCCAGCCAGGAACTGAAGGGTCCCTATACACGGGGCAAATAGTTATGGAAACAATGTGTGGTGCTGTTTTCCAGCTCAACATGCCTTTTTATTTATTGCCTGTTGCTCCACTATGCTATCAGGAGTGACTGTGCCACCGACTTTGGGGTCATTACATGGAAAACTCTGTGTGGTCCCAAACTCCCCCAAAACACTTTTAGACGATATGACTCTGGCTGCATTTTTGTCCATAGAGTCAGCATCTGACTACCCCCTTGAAGACAGCTTCCACAAAGAAGCCTTGAAGACAGTTTTGATCGTCATGACATGAGCTAGAATGATGACTGCTTGCCGGCCTGCCAGGCACGGGCAGACACCATTGTGTCAGCACCAAGGCGGGAGGCCTCACTCTCTCTGCTTCTCCTTTCGGCCTGCGCCAGGGGGAGGCCCAGAGCCGTGGGGTCAACAGTTGTCCCACGCGGGCGGCCTGACCCAGGGTCTACACGCTCCTCGGATCTCTCATAAGACTTTGGCCTCAGAGAGCTGTCCATATGGGGTGTCACACAAAGAACCCCCCGGCATGTGGAAGGTGCCCTGTGGTGGCCCAGAGAAGCTCAAGCCCCAGCTCTCATCTCCCGTCATCCCAGCTCCCAGACTCCTGCCGCCAAGGCCCTCATGGGGTCCAAACCACCAAGTGTTTGTGGTATAGCAACCACCCTGCACCCCAGCAGAGGCCATGCCTGGCACACACAGGAAGTGGCTTTGAGGGTATCGCTCATCGGCAGAGCCAGCAGAGATGTGGTTCTTCCTTCACGAAGCAGAACGCCCACTTGGCCTTACTGACGATTACTCTCTTGGGGAACTCATGCTCCCGGGGTAAAATCATTGGAGATACCTTGGTACTGAACCTACAGTCTTCATCTAATTTGTGGGAGGGAACTATGAATCTCAGAGTGAAAAATTGCCCAAAACTCCCTAAAGAGAAGTGCATTCACATAGCCACTCAGGCTTGACTTATCTGCATATTTTTGGAACTGCAACGTACCCAAACGGTCACAGGCTGTTTCAAGAAAGGAAAAGTAAGAGCTTGTGGTTTTCCAATCAGCTTTCTGAGACCTCAGTAGAGTCAACTGCTTACTGTATCTGTCTTCACTGTATTTTTTCCTGGGGCATTTAGATAAAACCCTATATGCTAGTTAATTACAATGATTAAGGAAATCAGGCTGTTTCGGGGCCTTTCGGGGCCTTCTGCTATTATCACGGATAGGAATCCACTATGGGTGGGGAAGGATTTTTTTTTTTGGTGGCCAAATAACATGTCCCAATTTTCACAACTGTGGGTGAGCTAAAGGCTGAAGAATTATACTTCAAGTGTGAAATAGAGGTTTGTTATTGAGCACCATCCATGGGAAAACCACATAAATGCATTAGGGCAGGCAATCTGGGATGTGCTGGTACAAATCCGTGGAAGTGGGGTGACATTTAGAGGAGGAGGCCCGAGCAGGCATCCCAGAGTCCCCTCTAACTCTGCACTCTGCGTGGAACAGCCTCACTGTTGCACTGGGCTGGGCGTGCCCACCTCCATGCAGAGTTGGACTTGACTGGGTGGATGACCTGTCCTCTGCACCGCCAACACGGGAGGGCACCCGGCCCAGAAACTGCGGTGAGGGCTGCACATGGAGTGCCACGTGGGATCCTCCCATGGTACTGTTATAGTCAGTCTGCAGAGGGGGACGCTGGGCTTGCAGACACAGGCTGCCCTCCCGACGTGGCGCGGGGGGCCAGCGGTGAGGTGTTGGCTTCCGGCCAGCGCAGTGGCTCCAGGGCAGCACTGACCTGGGGCTGAGGGTTGGGGCTCTGCTGTCAGACAGTCCGGGACAAATCCTGCTTTCTCTGCTCTCCCGTTAGAGGACCTCAGACACCTGGTTGACCCCTCTGCACCTCAGCTTCTTGCCTGCAGGAGGATCACAGCCCTGACCCCGTGGGGTGCTAGACCAAGGGCTGGTGTGAGTGTGCAGACCCCAAGGGCTCTTTTTCTCTTCCTGCATCCCTCCTTCCTGGGTGTCTTGGCCCCTTAAGGAGGGCAGGCAGAAACAGGGAGCTCTCGCCATGGGATGTGACTGCTTGAGAGGGATTCAGGGACTCCGGGGAGCCGGAACCACGCTTCACAGCCGGGCAGGCGAAGACCCTGAGGCTAGCCACGGGAGGGCACGGGCTGCAGACCACTTCCCACGGTGCTGCCTCTCCACCTGCACGCATCACCCTGCAGCGCTCAGAAAGCCAAGGGCGAGCAGAGTCATCAGGAGCTTTGAAATAAGGTCTTTGAAGATGTTTCTCAGAATGAACCCCATCCCCTTCTCCACAGCCTTTGGGGTCTTGTGTCAGAAATGGAGCTTGCCCCCAGGTGAGCTTGATCTACCTGGGTGTCTCCCACCTGGATGTTCAAGTGGCACTACCACCCAGCTTGGAGGCACCGCCACAGCCGTGCTGCCTGAATGGTCCCGCCTCTGCCTGCTTTCTGGATTCCAGAGGGCCCACGAGAGACGGGCTGAACCACACAGGGCTGACTGAGCTTTCCTCGTGGATGGGACCGAGGAGATGAGAGGTACAGCTCGAGCATCCGCCTGCGGCTGACCGGCGGGGTAACCTCAGGGCGTCCATCGCGCTCCTGGGGAGTTTCCGGGCCGAGAAGCAGGCAGCTTTGCGGTAAGAGCACCCGAGAGCACTGGGTGTTTATGGGGCCTTCACTGCTTGCCTGCCCTGTCCACTGCCTGGGCATTCGCTGCGCCCAGCACAGCACACACATCCCACCATAAGTTCCTGCTACAAAGCTGACCGCCCCACTTTATAGGAAAGAATAACTGCTCAATAAATATTTATTCTTTACATTTATAATAACGATCATCACATTTATGACCCAAAATGAGAATCTAGGACTGCTTTACTGCATAAGAAAAACATTCTGTGATTTTTAGTCAGGTGGGTGGTCCCTTAAGTACCTACGATGGGCTGTCACGACGTTAAATGTTCCTCTTCGAGTTCTGTCTGCGTCAGGAGTCAGCCTAGCATGCGATGTTCTCATGCTGTGTAAAGACATCATCCCTCATCACATGGTCTTCTGAGCCAGTGCAGGGGTGGCATTTGGGGCGCGACAGTTCTCTGCGGCGGGGCTGTCCTGGCGCTGTGGATGTTCAGCGGCTCCCTGGCCTCCACCCATGAAACGGCAACAGCAGCCAACCAAAATGCTTCCAGAAATTGTCCAGTGTCCCCGGGTGGGTGGGGGTGGGGTAAGCTCCTTGCGGATGGAAAACCGCTGTCCGGCATCAATTGGCGCAGACTTACAGACTCGGAAGGCAGAAGCTCTGAATGCTACGACGGATGCTCCGTAGTTTTAGTTGTTAATTAAAAATTGTTATCACAATAAATATATCAAAATGTCTAAAAACGACCTCTTAAAATGTTTGCTTTCCTCCCGTTCAGTTTGTTACCTTGGAATGTAATTTCCCTGCGTTCACAGCCATCTGGTTAGGATGGGGGGGTGAGTAAGTAGGTCCTCAAATCCTTCGCGAACCGGAGGACACCTTTGCTTAAAGGGGGTGCTGAGCGAGTGTGCCTCATCTTGGCTGGACAGATGCTGCCCTTGATTAAATTTGAAAAAGAAAGAAAACACGGTAATCTGATTATCTGCCCAGAGTGGGTGTAGCCCAGATAATCTCATTCTCCCTTGTGGCAATAAGTAAAAAGAGCACGGGTTGGCTGAAGGCGCTGTGGTGCGACAGAAATTAATGGCCCTGCCTGAAGAGGCAGCTGCCTCCATCTTTTGTTGCTGTCATGTTTTCTTAGGTGCGACTGTGGTGACCCACGTGACCCCAACTGCACAGTAGCGCCCTCGGATTTATCACAATCGCTGAGGCAAGAATGCAGGCGTTCCCTCCTTGTGTCAGGCATTGGCCACCGAAAACGTACCTGCGCTCAGGAGGCACTTAAATAAGGTGCAGAACAAACCAATAATACCCTGAATCTGTTGCTCGTCTACTGCACAAAACCCAGGAACTGCCAGGACTGTGAAGCATGGAGAAAGCTGGGCAGACCAGAAGATGCCCGCCGAAGACACGTTCTCTGTGGATGCTTCCAGAGCCCATAAACGACACTCACAGGGAGGCCACGGGAGAAGGCTCTGCGTTGGCAGGAATCAGTCAGCTCAGCCCGAGGAGGGAGCCTGTGCTGTGCCCACTGCTCAGACGTGTGCAGACCATGTGTGTCTCACCCCAGCGGCACCTGGCACTGCCCTGGGGGCGCAGAGGGAACACACAGGCCCAGACGAACGGATGAGTGACACGGGGGGCGGTGAGCTGATCAGTGACTTGCCTATGGTGTTCATTTCTGTGGCATCCACCGTATAAAAATAAGGACAATGATAATAACAACAACAGCACAGGCATGTAACATTTATCATGGACTCAATACCATTCCAAGTACTTGAATACAGTAACTCCTGTAATGCAGTAATGTGAGCAGAACACTATTATTACCCCATTCAGAAGGCGGGCACACTGAGGCGCGGGGTGGGGCGCGGTGGTCCTCCATGGCCGCAGAGCTAGTAAACGGGGCTGGCTAAAGCCCAGGGCACCTGACTTGAGGCTGTGCTCCTAAGCACTGTGCCGCGTTGTCTCTGTGGTAAGAGTGGGGGCGATCTGACCGTTGGCATTATTTACACAGCCTGCCTGTCATGTAAACACTGACTGACCCGTTGTTTGAACAGAAAGCTCCTCTCTCGCTGGTTTATCACAATCAGCTAGAAAGTCTCTGGTGGCCAGGAAGTGGAGCATTCATCCAACGCACGCTGGGGTAAGGCATTTGGAAAACAAAACGTAAGGGAGCAGAGAAACCCGAGTCCAATTTGCTAAAATCCTGCCTGTGGGCATTTGCAAATCCCTGCTGACGTGACTAGCACATCCCCAGAGAGCGCACCCCCTGCATCCAGAAGGCTTGTTTGGATCACCGAACACACTGGCTCAGGAACAAACAGGGGCTTCTCCAGCGGCTTCTGCCTGGCCTCTTGCTCCATGGGGTCCTCGCTGTAGAAATGCCCAGGCAGATATCCTCGTGAACACAAGGAGCCGTGGATGAGGCATGACTCTTATTACCACGTTCAGGGCTTCAGTCAAACTCAAGTCTCCAGAAAAAGGAAATCAACCATCTCCGTAAAAGTTAATCCGTGATTAAGAAAAAAAAAGTCAGTATATTTATAATTATCTCAGAATTAAGAGTGAAAAATAGAAGTCTTCTTTCTTTAGCTCTTTCTACTTAAATAATGCAGCAATGGGAGAGATTTTTGTGGGAATGCATAATTTAATACAATTGAATAAGGGAATTAGAACGTTCCATCTATCCCGCTATGTAATGACACAGTTCTTGAGACAACTGAGGACTTGGTTAGAGCGAGGCTGGGGGGTCCCGGAGAGCCTGTGGGAAAACAGAGACAGGAGGCGATGCCAGAACAAAGGGCATGAAGAGGAAATGTTTAATAAATCTGAGTCAAAGACGCGTGGCTGAACAGCACAGGGGTAAAGGGCCTCACAATGCTCAGGGCAGGGGTTAGAGGCACGGGCAGACGTGTTAAAGACCATCCAGCTGCTCGGTGATCTCCCTGGAGAGGGCAGCAGGGGGCAAGCCCATTCTCTGACCTTCTCCCAGCCCCAGAATGAGGCTTGGGAGGGTGTCCTCTGCGCAGGGTTTCCCAGGGCTGCCGCCCAGGGGCCAGGGGGCTGCCCAGCTCCTGAGGTGATCAGCATCCCCTTCTGAGTGCGCTCAGACCCTTGTGGCCGTCACTGGGGCCCAGCTCCTCACAGCCAGCAACAGGGTATCTCTCCAGTGGGACCCTCTCATGTCAGAGAAGGCTAGGACCCTCTTTCAAAGGGCTTGCTGTTGCCTGGTTAGGTCAGGCCCACCCAAATCCATGTCTGATTAATTCATTGATAGTCAACAAAAGAGACTTTACCTGCATCCTAAGTCCCTTCACCTTTGTCATATGATGCAATGTGATACTGAAAGTGCCCCCGCGTCCCCTTTGCCATACTCCACTGGTCAGGAGCAAGTCACCGCTGTGCCTGCTCTGGAGGGGTTGGACTGTACCCTCCCTAGACCGTTTCCTGGGGAAGGCAGGGACACTGGAGCCCCAGAAGGTAGAAGTGTATGCCTTTTGCTCAGAGCTGGGGATTGCCGGCACCCAGGCCCTGGGGCTCCAGTTGGTCCTTTTAAGATTCCCCTGCTCTGCCTCATTGCTGAGTTGTTCTGAGGGAGTAGGGATGCATGCTAAGTAGGGTGTCCAGGGCAAAATGATGCCTCCCTCCCACGAGAGGGAGCCCTGGACACCTCTCCCTACACATTCATTTGTCTGTTTATCTCTCAAGGTTGTGTGCCTGAGAAGCGCCAGTCTCTATGCTGGTCCTGGGACACAAAGATGGAGAACTCAGGGCATCAGCCCTCAGTGGCCTATAGATTAGACTCTCTGGTTGGTGGATTTCTGCATCAGAAGTCCTTTAGTTTCAGTGAACATTACCCATCATGAACTGGCTCATGAAAACAGGCAATTTAGTAGTTCCTGTAACTCAGACATCAAGGAATGAGCCATCTTCAGGCACAGCTGGATCCAGAGCTTTCTATCTTGAAAAATGACCAATAACTAAATGTCTCTCTGTTCGCATCTGGCTCTCAGTAGGCAGCTGAGTCTCCTCTGTCGCAGTTCTTGCCAAACACCACACGAAGTCTACAAACTCTTCAACAGCCTGTCTCCCAAAACACCACGTCTAACATCCTCACATGCTGTTTCCTGACAAAGTTGACACACTTCCCAGCAGAGGATATGTGGTTCTCACTGCCCTCCTCACCACCCACGTCAGCCAAGTCTGCATTTTATACTCCGTTGGTTGCAACCCTTTACTTCAAACTACCGATTTATGTTGAATCCAAGACACTTTTGGGAACAGAAAGCCAAGTGAACATACTAGTTCTGTGACTAGAAATCCTAGCTGCAGGCATGGCTGCATCTAGGAGCTGTCATGGTGTCACTGGGCCTCCATGCTTGTGTCTCTGCTGTTTCCCTCTGCCCAGAATCTTCTCTTCCTCCAAGTAGGTTTTGTCTGTCTGGCAAGGAGAGACGGCTGTGAGGCACGGGATCATGGGCAGGACCAGGGTGAGGACTGCGAGGGGCCGCGGCATGAATTTAAGGAGGTGCTCACTTTCAGGCTTGTGTAAGACCGAGTGCCCCTCATACCCTGTGCCCAGCTGCTCTGACTTCCTCCGGAGACCCCATGTGTACATGATCCCTCGGCTTGGCAGGCCCTGCAGAAAGGCGCTTCATTCCTGCAGTTTCCACAGATTGCAAATCAACTCTGGCAACAAGTTCGGTTGGCCTTGCTTGGGCACACGATCCCACCCGAGCCAGTCCTTGCTGCCCCAGGGACAGAGCACCACTGACCAGATGGGATGCTCAGGATCTGGGGGAGCCATGTGCTCAGATGCCTGGTCCCCTGAAGAGCAAATGGAACGGGAGAGGAGCAGCAGCCCCAAACGCAAGCTGCGGAGGCAAACGCATGCGCGGGCTCTCTACTTCCGCCTGAGGCCTGGCTGCCTTCTTCCACTCGGTACTGTCCTCTGTTTACAAATCTTATCTCTTCAGCCATACTCTGAGCTCTGTGAGGATGAATCCACCCTGCTAAACACAGAGCCCTACACGAAGTCCTCCCTGAAATCCTCAATACTTATTTGCGGATCAGTGAGCATATTTATGACTTTTACTTTGAAATATTTATCAAAAAGATTGGTGATGTCTGTTGCATGCAGGCCTCTTCCTGGTGTCTTATCCTGTAGTTCTGTGTGGAACATATTCCTCTGCCTCCTCATTTTGTGAGGGTTTCTGTGTTTCTTCATTTATATTAGATGGATCTGCGGTGCTTCCTGGTCTAGAGAGTAATGACTTTATGAAGAAGGCACCCTGTGGTGCCTGGAAGCCCCGGGCTCTTTACTCACCGCTGCCTGGATCTCCTTTGCGGTGGCATCCCGGCGGCTGTCGGTGGGCATCGGACAGGGCCAGCTTTCTGTCTGTCTGCCAGCAGTGGGCTCAGTCGGCTCTCAGCAGTTTGCCCTCACTGGGCCCTTGTGATCAGAGCAGTACTTTCTGCTGGGATTGTTGTGGGTGGGGCTGCCCTGTGCCTACCCTGCCAAGTTGGCAGGGCTGCAGGGTCAACAGGGTGGGCAGGGTGATTGCTAGGCTCTCGGGCAGGTCTGGGTATGGCAAATCATGTGGTGGCAGATCATGCGGTGGTGGCAGTGGCAAGGCAGGTCCACAGGCTTGGCTGCCAGCAGGGCAGGAGCTTTCAGAGCTGGCTCCTGCAGATGCCTCCTGTGTTGGGCTGAGACAGGGCGGAGGAAGCTGGGAGAGCCTCCTTCTGCCTGGCTGGTTGGAGGTGTGCAGGGAAGTGCCTCGGGGCTGAGCCACTGGTAAGGGGGGTGGAGCACCTGGGGCTCCTGAGGGGGCCCGAACTGTTGGGCTGAGGAGGGGCTGGGAGCTATCATCCACTGGTCCTTTCTCCTGTGGAGAGAGCTCCACCCAACCCTCACCCCTCTGGCACTTCTCTCCCTGCTGGCAGATCCTTCAAACTGCCACCTCTGCTTTGGGTCTTAGCCGGACTGGCAAAGCGTGCCCGTCCTCCACAAGCAGCTGGAGTCTCAGCCTCCCAGACTGTCCCACCTGTCCCTGCTGTCCAGCTCCGCTGACCACCAGGACCCAGTGCAATGTGGACTTGGGCTCCCAGATCTGCAGGGTTCCTGAGCACCTGTCCCTCTCTGTCCCTCTTCCTCCCACCGGTGGGCTGGGATGGGGGAAGGTCTAGGGCCCCCCTCGATCACGGTTCTGCCACTTCACCCTTCTCTGTGTGGTCCTCTCTTCTTCCCGGGTGTAGGTGGTCTGTTCTGCCGTCGTCAGGCTCGGTTGTATTTGCTGTAGTCGCTTCCTCTGTGTGTTCACGGGAGGAGGTTTCCACCTTGTCTTCCTCCTCTGCCATTTTTTTCCATCCCCAGGTTGTCTTTTGTAAGTTCTTCTTTGGAAAATGCTGGAGCCAGAAAGGTGAGAGCTCCTCTTCCCAGGCACCAAAGGGCGTGAGCTCCTGCTGGGTAGGGCTCCCCGCAATGCGCAGGCAAGCTCGCTGAGGTGCTGCTGTTAACAGTGCCAAACGGCTGCACAGAGGTGTGCTTCTGGCAGCTTCTCGGTACATATGGGGGGTAGTTTGGATGCGAGATGATCAGACGTGGTGGACTTTGCTCCCCGTTTAGCAGAACTGGAGTTAAAGGGCCACCCTCTAACACTTAGGGGCTTATTAGAGGAAGCGGTGGGTGAGCACCCCAAAGTAGGGAGAGTGCAAAGCCCCCGCAGGAGGCCTGAGGCCGATGGAGGATTTCACACCCTGCATTCCTGAGGGGGGCCACATGGAGTGGTGCCTTCCCGTCGCCAGTATCTCACGCGTCTCCCCATCTCAGAAACTCAGCTCAGTGTTCATCTGCTCTAACTCTCTCATCTGCGGTTTCCGCACACAGTGGAGTATCTCTGGATGATGGAGCAGAACGAGGGCCTCTCCTGCAGGACTTATCAGGTTCTTTAACATGTCGCTGTGTGTGGTGAACCTCTGAGAAGCAAGTGAGGGGCCCTCTGGTGTCAGCTTTCCACAGATGTGTTTAACTACAGAACACTTCCTTCGTGGGACATCCCAGGAGACTTAGCAAGATGCTATTTTTAGACATTTCAAACTGGATGGCTCAGAAGCCACCCATGAGACCTCGGAGCACAAGGACAGGCCTAAGTACTGGATTAAGATGGATCTGAATGGTGGAATCCCAGATTTTCTTTTTCCCTGAGGATTTAGCATCATCCAACATCCAACTGACAGTAGAGTTTCCATAGAAAATCCACCATTTGGTCAAATACAGTTACATAACATTGCCCAAGTATTTTTGACCCACTCCAAAGTTCAAGGACTGGAAAGTTGCATTGCTTTCTGCTTCTAAGTAAAGACAGAGTAGCCCTGGAATGGTTATTTCAGGAAGGATGTTCCCCTCTTGATGGGGCACCCTCTACATCTTTCTTAAAATTGCTTCTTTTGCTAATTTAAAGCGAATTATGAATGTGTTCCCATAATCAAGATCTACCTGAACTAGACCAAATCTCCATTTTGAAGAGAAGGAGCATGGGCGTTTCCGCTCTTACTTTCCAGACTGAAACTCAGGCTTGCTGCGGCGGGTCTGGTGCAGAGGCCCTGGAGAGGGGAGCGGGCTGCACCCACCGTGCCCTGCACCACTCACGACCCAAACCCGTCCACAGTCCCCCCCAGGGCCTGGCCCGCCTGCGGCCTTCTGTGTGACATGGATGTGGCCATGAGAGGCTGCTACCAGCTGAGGGCAGACAGTGCAGCCGACTGTAGGTCCTGTTGAGACAGGGCTCAGATTTTATGAAGTTGCTCCCACCCAGTGCCCTGGGCTGGGGGCTGCCTAGGGGCTGCCCATCTCTGGCGGAGTCTCCAATTCATTCATTTAACTAAGAGGCCTTCACTGTCTGGCTTGGTCCAGGCTCTGGGTCCAACCCTGTGGACAGACAAGCAGCCTAGGTCTCCTGGGGCTCCAGGGTCAGCAGGGAAGACATACCATCCAATGACCCACAGTGGTGTGTGTTTACCGTCTTCTTAGGGGCACACAGGTGTGCTTAGAGGCAGAGAGCAGGGCACTTCTAACAAACCCCGGGGGAATGTCCAGGGACATCCACGTTTTAACAGGGGCAGGATTGCTAGGCCCGTGACAGCTCAGTGAAGGCACTGCCCTGAGCTGTGGACTAGAGTCCTGCCCTGGGCCCCACCCCCAGTGCCCTCCCCACCGGCAGCTGCTGGGGGCAGGGCTGGACTGTCCACCCTGAGAGACATGCCACCACTGAGCGGCTCCCACCAGCTCCTCTACTGCTGCTCCTCAGGCAGGAGGGCTGGCCCTCACTCTTCCAGAAGCTCAGATGAGGAAAACCACCCATGTGCACTGTCAGCAATCCCTTTTCTTTCCTGTTGGTTAGAGCATTTCAGAGCCACAGGTCAGAAAATGGAGCAGTTGATGCTGACCGGTCATGCCCTCTGTTTTGGGGCAGGCTTCTGTCTGTGCTGCCTCATCCGGCCCTTGCACCAGCTCGAGCACAGATCCTACCACACACTGCTACATCCGGGGACACTGAGGTGTCCCAAGGATGGCCTTGCCAGTTGCATGGAGCAGCGCCAGCCCAGCTCTGTGCCCACATGCTCAGCCACCTTGCAGCACTGCTGTCCACCAGCACACCTGTACCAGGTCCTGAGTGTCCAAAGCTTGGCACGTGGGACCCAGCTCAATGCACTTCCCACCCGCAGCCTCCCGCTTCCGCGAGATGCAGAGAGCATTTCTTCTGCCCCATGGACAGCTCTGCCCTCTGCCTCCTCCAAGACATGCCACCCCGGGCCCTCTCCATGGAAGGGTCACAGGCGAATGCTCACAGGGGCCCAGCCCAGCAGGAAGCAGAGGGACAGCGCCGACCTATAAGATGACAAGTACTGACCAACCCCGCAAGGGCCAGGAAAGCCAGTGTGAGGAGAGTGGACGAGGACGTGCCGACCTGTATGGGCTATCTGCCCCCAGGTGGGAGCGGGAGTGTAGTGGAGTGCCATCTTCCCATTTCCCCAATAAACTGGAAATTCAGATTTTCATGTGAAGTATCTTATTCTTAAAAAATATTACAAATAAACTAAAAACGCAGTTGACCTTATATGGGCCACAAAACCCAGATGTGTGGGCTCAGTGCGGCCCCGACCACTCCCTGGTGACACCTGGTTTCACCTTCTTGTATCAAGTGCAGCTAAAGGCCCGTCCCTCAAAACCCAGGGCCAGGGGCGGCTGCAGTGTTAGGAGGAGTGTGTGGGCTTGGACGTCCACCAGAAGGCCCGTGCGAGCAGCCTGTGTCAGGGTTGCTGAGAGCTGGCAATGCAGATGTGAATAGAAAAGAACTGTGGTCTGCAGGCTGAAGGGAAATCAACCCTGCAGGTTGGGTGGACCCGGGTCCATCTGCCTCTGCGGCGGGGTCGGGGGAGATTGTATTTTATCCCTGCAGCTCTCCTGTCCATAACATAGCATCTGCGCTTCCTGCTGCCCCAGCAGGCCTGACAGGGACCCTGCTGCAAATCCCTGGGCTCAGAGCTGCTGCCCAGAGACCCCACCGCACCCGCCGCCTTCCTTTCCTTCCACCCAGGCCCTGTTTCCTCGGTGGTCCCGCCCCTCCCCTCTGTGATGGAAAAGCAAGAGGGTAGGCTGCCTGTAAGAGAGGCTTGTTTTGTTTCCAGGCTTTTTATTATTTAACCTGAGCCCACAGGGAGGCAAGCCGATACCCTATCACGGAAGACACAGACAAACCTGCCGAAAAGGCAGGGGAATTGTGCAGAAACTCCAGGTCAAGATTTGCTTGGCCTGGAAGATTTAATTTGCCAGACTGCTGGGCCTGTCAAAAGTTTCCCCAGTAACCACTTGGGTCCTCATAAAGACGAAACAGCAGAGAAGGAAAATGAAATCCTGGATCAATGTCTCCGTTTGGAGACCTTAACTTATGTTCAGAAGACAGAAATGCAACCAAGCAACTGTAACTGTCACGGCAGATGAGCCAGGGAAGCAGGCGCAGGCTTGTGACCCTGATGAGGATGCGCAGGGGCCTGTGAATGACGGCTATGGGCCTGGAAGGAAGCCCAGTGCGGGGCTCTCTGCACCTCGGTGACCCCACCTGCAAACCCATGCCTCCTCCCCACAGGTGTGGTACCAGGGCACGGGCCTTGGGCAGGTGAGCTGCAGGGCCAAGGGCCAGAGCTGCCCTGCTGGCACAGGACCACATGGGCCTGGGGGTCAGGAGATGAGCCTGATGGGTCTGCCCTGACCGCCCTGGGGGCTGCTGCCCCTTGGTGGGCATGCGGGCTTCTCTGCCGGAGGACTGAGTCCTGTGCCGCCCGGGCATGGCCCACTGGTCTCTGCAGGGTGGGCCCCTGGTGACGCTCTGGGGGGCGAAGGGGAAGGGCTGGCATGACACAGGTGCAGGGCAGGCTGGA